AAGGTACTGATCCCCAGGAGAGTTCCGCACACAACCGTGTCTCAGAGTTGGCTGCCTCAGGAAATGGCTTATGATACCTGCCAAAAGTCAGGAAGCTAACGAGAGGCCAAACCGGGCTCTGCTACAGCCGTGCCAGCAGCATTCCACAATGAACGATCCAGAAGGGTGGGGTGGGGAGGGAGTGGACCGGAGGCTCGGGAGGGAGGGGGCGTGGGTGCGCCTGTGGCTGATTCTTGTTCACAGAAAACTTCAAAATTCCGTAAAGCAAATATCCTTCAGTTAAAAAAATTAAGTGGCAAAAAAAAAAGTTTCGAACAAAATATCTGACATTATAAACAGAGCTGTTTTAAAGAACTCTTTTATAAAAACATTTGTGCTTTGATTTATAAATGGAGAAATAACATATCATTTTGACCAAATTAGATGACTTTAAATGTAACTTATTTGTATTTATTATAATTTGTGTAAGGAATATGACTATCAATAAATCTCCCTTACCTTCTTTACTCAGAAAAAAAAAAAAAAAGCAGAAGAGACCAAGTGAAAGGATGAACCAAAAGACCTGTAAAGTAACATAAATGATTCCCTAAAATATTCTAATCACGTCTCATATGTGGAGCAGAATAAAAATGAAGGAAGATCCCTATTGAAGTTGAGCTGATGAGACACAAGAAAGCAATCATTCCTACTTAGAGCAGAAAACAGGAAGGGGAAGGAAGAAGGGAATTTCCTGGGATGCTTTCCATTTCACTTCAGTAGTAGAGACCACCTGGATCAAAAGGGCTTCAAAGATAGACAGCTTCTGCCCTTTATTTTATACAAGCAGAAACTGCAACCTAGAGGGTCACTTTGCTCCCCAAGGGTACAAAGTCACAGAGGAGCCTGGTCTAGGACTCAGTCTCCAGTCTTTCAGCTTTGTCTTAAATATGTGATTCTGATCACATACCCAACGCAAGGGGCCCAAGTTCGATCCCCGGTCAGGGAACTGGAGCCCACAGGCCACAACTGGCGATCCTGCGTGCCAGAACGGAGATTAAAGACCTCATGTGCTACAACTAAGGCCCAGTGCAGCCAAGCAAAAAACAAATAATAAACAAACAAATACTTTGAAAAATTAACCAATCTAAGACAGAAATGGAAATTTTTTTAAATATAAAAACAAAAAAATAAAATGTATTATAAAACTACGTATAACTTTTGAATTAGGCATCAGTGTCTCTCCCTGCCCTCCCCACCAATGTGGATGACTAGAATTTGACTACATTACAGGTTTTCACAGAATGGCTTTACAAGGAAGGTTAGAACTCCAGCAATTAAAGTTCATCAAATATTGTATCTTAATGCCCTTATCTCAGAATGAGGGCAATAATTACTATCTCATTCAATAGGATGCCATAAAGACTAAATATTTAATAGTAGCAATACATTTTAAATGCCACATAAACAAATACCATAGTGATACACATAGCAACTTCTAGCAGGTTAACATTATGCAGAACTGATTGAAAAGAGCCCAAGTAAGACATAGAAACATTTAGACACCTGACTATTTCCAATCAAGAGAGCAAGATTTAAACTGATAAACCTAAAGTTTAATCAAGACATTCCAATTCTTAAAAATCCCTGTGTTAGGCAAATCTACCACCAAGAAATCTAAGACTTTGGGGAAAAAATAGGGGAATGGGATAGAACTTAAAAGAAACTCATGATTATCTTTAAAGTACTTTTAAATTATTAAAATAGAATAGGACAACCATAATATGTAAGGAAATACCACAGACATTTTATAGATTTTGAACTTGTTCCAGTAAGTACTGTATCACTCATTTTTATATATGATTTCTGCTTTCTAGAAACCTCTGAGAATCTCTCTGTCCTTTGTTACAATGAAGTAATTATAAATATTATTTGCTAAGAATCACTACCTTCTGTCCTTTCCACATCTGCATTTTTTATCCAAAGTGCTCAAAGAGCAAGTTTGGTTTTTAAAGACTTCACTGTTTTAAATGTTTGGGTAAATTTTATTTCCCTTGCTTGTAAAGTGGAGGCGGCCCCAGGCAAACCCCCGCTGAAGCAGAGCTCAGCCCCGTCTCCCTCATGTCAGAATTAGGCTTTGGGCCCCTTGGCAGGGAGTTCAAGTTCAGCTCCCTGAATTTTAACAAACCAACAGCAATACTAAGACCCTTCCACTCCTTTATCAATTCCCAGGGCTCCTTTGAAAAATCTCCATTTCTACTGTGCTTTTTAAAAATTATCTGCTTCACCTCACCTATTCTGTCTCTTTCTAGTTACATTAGCAACAATTTACAGATGAAACTATAAGCCAAGAGAAAAGACACACAGAAGCAAATTCATGAAGGTCAGAATTTTGAATAAAGATAAATTGTGATTAGTAAACAGATGGCTAAGATAATGTGGTGTAAACCAATCTGCCTCTGTGTGCTCAGTCGGTAAGTAGTCCCACTTTTCTGCGACCCCATGGACTGCAGCCCACCACGCCCCTCTGTCCATGGGATTTCCAGGCAAGAATACTGGAGAGGGTTATCACTTCCTTCTCCAGGGGATCTTTTCCAACCCAGGGATCGAATGCAGGTCTCCTGCGTTGGCAGGAGGATTCTTTAACACTGAGCCACCTGGGAAGCCAAACTAATCTGCCTAACAACCAACTACTGGCTTGGGTGAAATTAGTCAGTGACCCATTGATTCATAATGCTCCTACATTTATGCACAGATACTAAGATATCTGGCATCACCAACTCAAGGGGCATGAGTTTGAGCAAGCTCTGGGAAATAGTGAAGGCCAGGGAAGCCCGGCGTGCTGCAGTCCATGGGGTCACAAAGAATGAGACAGGACTAAGCAACTGAGCAAGAACAACAGCTAAGATAAAGCTGTAGGAAAATTCCAGAGAAATAACATTTATGTTCACTTTCCTTGCAGGAAAATATACAAATGAATACTGTGGAGGTATTAGATAAAACATGTTTCACTAAATCAGTAGTCTTCAAAACAGGTAACCCCTTCAAAAGGAAGCATCTTAAGTCTTTTCAAGGAAAATAAAGTTTTGTAAGCACACATAGTCTTAAGACATAGTTAGTTTAAAGGAATTGATTTTTGGATGCTAAATATGCAAATTAACACCTTCCCTAAAACATTGAGGGTAGAAATTTTCTCTCTTTGAGGAAAATAATCAAGGATGTAAAATTTTTGACATTGAAAATTTGCCATGAAATTTTTTTAATGGATGATGATGGCAGATATCAAATAGTTACACCAAATATTCTATTGAATTAATTTAAAAGAACGATAGTTTCATTTTTAAATGCCAATATTCACAATATCCACAAAATTTTATCTTTTGAAAATGTTTAAACTTATTATTAAAAAGTTTTAGCTGCTGATACAAAACTGTGCAAGAGATTAGACATTTCTTGATATCCATTAGAGAGATGGTGAGCAAAAAAGTTTGAAAGCCACCAGACTAAATCATGTCAAGGTTTCATTAACCTCTAATATTTGAATATCAAAATTCTAAACAAGGTGCTATATATATAAGTCCTACTCTGTCTAGAGTGACACAGAGAGGTTGAGCCTATTAAAGAACCGCTGGGGGTGTAGGTGAGATTTGAGCAGGGTTTTATGAAAGGAAAACAGGAAACTTGAAAACCCAGGAAAAGATGAAGAGGCTCCTGCAAGAGAGGGGAGCACACATGGCCAGGCAGAAAACGGGAAGACCAGGAGCTTTCACGTCACGAGAAACTTGGGTTCAAATTCAGGTTTTACTACATTTTGGCTGAGCCAGTTTGAAGAAATCTTCATTTCTATTTTGAAGATCAAATAAAGAGATAGAAAAGAAAGTGCTTTTTAAATTATAACCTAACAGCACTTGTTAGCCATTAAGCCCTTTTCAATCAGAAACCATGAGCAGCAGCAGTTTACACCATGGCCGCAAGCACGGGCTCTGGAACCAGCAGACTGTGTTGGGACAAAAGCTGCCACTTCTTGGAGGGCCTATCTCAGCCCGGATGGGAAGGAGCGGGCAGGCAACCCAGTCTAAAACAAGGCTTTAATAATAAAGCTACCAACAGGACTCCTTGGTTTCTCTGAAAGAGTATGTGACAATGATCCAATGAACTTCCTGGCTAACAAAGTAGCATATATTTTTTCCCCTTGCTTAAATGCCAAAACTCCAAAAGAACACATTGCAATTTATGCTACAAAGAATATCCTGATGTATTTGGTAAATTATATTTGGTGGTTAAGGTGGTACATTTGTTAGAAATGATTCTGCATTGCAGTAGGAATATTCTGACCTTCAACTAAGGGCGTTCTGACACTAGGGTATCAAAGGCCTCATTATAAAATACCCTGACCTATTACCAACATACCAAACACAGAACCAAAAGCAGCAATATGAGACAAACCCTTTAAGTGCTCACGTTTTTAGTCTTTTGAAAACTGTTACTGGAATATTTTTTAAATTACAGAAGTGACTCATAGTTCCTCATTCATGACCTTTAAAACATATTTTATATATATATAAATAAATACATATTTATATATAAAATACATACAAATATATTTATATATATAAATGCAGACATATATATTCACATATATATGTATGTATATAAAAGACAAAGCTGGTCTTCCACACCTACCCCTGACTTTTCAAACCTTGTTTATGACAAAATGCATAGGTTTTCAGAAATTATTTTAGAAGTTAGAAGTTTTGGTTGAAGTCTTGACCAAAATGTGGAAACAAAAAGCTCAGAAATGTGTTATTTTAAGAAAAGCATTTAAAAGCCCATGTTTTAACTTTTAAAAAGTCCCAGAACTATAACTACAGGGTAATGTGCCAAATAGATTATACTGCTTTCCAATTTAATTTAAGCATTATATTTGTGTTAAAACTCAGGACATGTTTGCTACTCTAAGATATTTTCAATCCATAGTATGTATTGAGAAGCAATAGATCAACGTTAGGAATTTTTTAACTTACAAGTATGTCTGGCCAGTGAGTAGTTGGATCCACCACTAGTCAAACCAAATCCTTCAGGAATCTGACTAGAGCTTCGAGGTCTGGTCAACAGTTTAGGAGGTTCAATTTCAGCACCAAATTCAGCTCCTATTACTCCTAGTAAAACAATAGCAGTAGCTTGCTTCCGTCTTTCCTCATAAGATGTGGAAATTTTTTTCATTTGTGGGACACTTGATAAGCAACCTGAAAACCAAAACATATGAACATAAATTAAAAGACTATCAATACACACGATAAAAACATTCAAGACTGGCCATTCCCGAATGAACCACCTTTCCAATAAGTGGCACTGAAACAACTGGCAATCCATGTGCAGAATGGACCTGGGTTTCTACCTCTCATGACACAGAAAAATGAGCTCAAAATCAATCACAGCCCCAAATACAGAACCAAAACTGAATGACTTGCAGAAAAAATACAGATGAATATTATCATGATTTGGGGTTAGGCAATGATTTCTTGGATATTATAGCAAAACATGAGGAATTTGGTAAATGTTTTCGAATTGAACTTCAATATTAAACACTTTTGAGCTTCCAATAACATAATCAGGAAAGTAAAAAGAAAGCACAGACTGAGAGAAAATACTGTCAAATTATATATCTAATAAGAGACTGTACCCAGAGTACCTAAGGACCTCTTCTGACAACTCTATATTAAGAAAACCCAACTTCTAAAATGAGCAACTAATTTAAATAGACACTTCTCCAAAGATAAATGAATGGCCAATATGCACATTAAAGCTACTCAACATCATTGGTCATTAGGAAAATGCAAATGAAAATCTCAGTGAGACACCATTTTACATCCATTAGAATGGCTACAATTAAAACAATAGACCATAACATGTATTGTTAAGCCTGTACAGAAATTGAAACTCTCATGCATTGTTGGTGGGAATGTAAAATGATACAACTAGTTTAGAAAATAGCTTGGAAAAAAAAAAAAGAAAATAGTTTGGTAGGTAGAGTTATAACATATGGCCCAGCAATCCTACTCCTAGGTATCTACCCAAGGGGAGTGAAGACAAATGTACGTATATAAAGACTTGTATGTGAAAGTGCAGGCTTCCCCGGTGGCCCAGTGGTAAAGAATCTGCCTGCCAATTCAGGAGATGCAGGAGATGTGGGTTTGATCCCGAGGTTGGGAAGATCCCCTGAAGTAGGAAATGGCAACCCACTCCAGTATTCTTGCCTGGAAAAATTCCATGAACAGAGAAGCCTGGTGGGGTGCAGTCTATGCGGTTGCAGAGTCGGACACAACTGAGCAACTGAGCGTGCACAATGATTGTCTACAACAGCATTACCCATAAGAGCCAAAAAGTAGAAACAACGTAAGTCCATCAATTGTTAAACAGCTAAACAAAATGTGCTACATTCATCCAATAAAATATTATTCAGCAATAGAAACGAATGAAACATTAATACATGGTGCAATATGGATATAAATACAGGCACACAACCAATTTTATAAAATCCTAATATTTTCCATAGGCGTTTCAGATTTTTAAAAATAACTAATGTGGATACAGCTAAAGTCTACTATGGGTTGTGTCTTGACTTTACTACACCTCTCTCTTACCCTAGAGATCACCATGATTCTGACCTTATCAAATATTTTTTTATCTAGTATATAATCATATCAATGTTACCTGAATTGTATACTTTCTTGCCTTGAACCATGCTTGCATTCCATCCATAAACTCTGGGTATATGCATGAATGAAAGCCAGTAGGTAGGTAGGTAGGTAAACAGGCCAACAGACAAACTCTGAACTAAATTTGCTCATAGAGTTTTTTGAGTGTATGTCCATAGGTAAGATGGAACTATTATTTTCTTTCCATGTACTATTCCTGTTGGCTCTTGGTAGCAATATAATACAAGCCCCCCAAACTGGGTTAACTTTTACTCCCCAGTACTCTGGAAACAGAGAATCACTGAAGTTAGATGGAATTATTTACAGGTACCAGGGCCTCTGGGCTTCCCTGGTGGCTCAGATGGTAAAGAATCTGCCTGCAATGCAGGAGACTCGGGCTTCAATCCCGGGTCAGGAAGATCCCCTGGAGGAAGGAAAGGCTACTCGCTCCAGTGTCCTTGCCTGGAAGATCTGATGGACAGAGGAGCCTGGTGGGCGACAACTCAGGGGGTCGCGAAGAGCCGGACACAACTGAGGGACTGCCCCTAACAGCGCCTCTGTCTCAGGGTGGCGCTCTTCTGGAGTCAGCAAGCAGAGACGCCGGGGTGGGGAAGGTGGAGGGTGGAGGAAAGAATATTTGTTGTTGTTACGAATTCATTTTCTGGAATAATTATTTGGCTTGATTTTCTACTAAATTCTTGAATCATTTCAGATAGCTTATTACTGTTTTAGAATTATCCATTTCATCCAAGTTTTTAAATGTGTTGGTCCGAAGTTATTTAAACTGTTCTCTAGGATTTAGAAAATCTCACTTGTATCAGCTGCTATGAATTCTTATCAGCATTGTTTACTTGTGGCCAGTTGCTCAGTCATGTCTGACTCTTTGCAACCCTGGGACTGTAGCCTGCCAGGCTCCTCTGTGCATAGAATTTTCCAGGCAAGAATACTGAAGTGGGTTGCCACTTTCTACTCCAGGGGAAGGGGACTTTCCTGACCCAGGGACTGAACCCACATTTCTTGCATCTCCTATACTGGAAGGTGGATTTTTTGTTTGTTTGTTTGTTTGTTTTACCACTAGTGCCACCTGGGAAGCGTGCTGTTTACTTGCGCCTTCTCTAATATTATTTTCCCTACCCTCTTGATCAGTTCTTCCAGAAATACACTATCAGATTTCCAAAAATACTCTAGTTTTGATCTGTTTCATTGCTTTCTATTTCACTCATTTCTGCTGTTACTTTTACTATCTCTCCTTCCTCCCACTTTCTTTAGGTTTTCTATTCTTTCTTTTTGTTTCTAGGTTCCCAGATTGAACGCAACTCACTTCATTATTTTCTATTATGTTTAACAGAGCGAGTCACATAGTGAGCATCCATTTTCCTCTTCTTTAATAATACAACCTTGATTTTGACTGAGATGTAATGTATTCATATTCTTTCAATGTTCTTGCAGGAATGGAGGAAGCCTGGCCTTAAGTTCTCTTTGCTCAGAGGAGCCAAAGCCTGCTTCTGAAGAGCAGCTAATCGTTTCAGTCGAGTTTACTGCATTTCTATTCTGTTACTTGTCCACAAAGATATCTATCTTTCTTGAGCCTAATTACGCCTTGTTGGTTTTCTATTTGAATATTTTATTCATCATAGCTATACATGGGGTACAGAGGGATTTCAAAGCAAACTTCTGGAGCCATGTTGATTGGAGGTCAGCTTTCTGTCCTTCTAATTTTAACCCATCCAGTTTTTCTGGTCTCTTTCAACCCATTGTTCCCTACATTAATTAAACCATTTCAACCCATTGTTCTATACATTAATTAAACCAATACAATGAAGGGCCCTCGGAGCAGTTTGGCAACTAAGAAATTAGCATCAGGGGCTTCAGAATACTTTCAGATATCTTTATTTTGTCTCTGTGGATCTTCTTCCTTTGTTATTCTATACTACTGCAAGAAAGGCAAGGAGATGACAACAGGGAGGGTTTAAGGAGCACCAAACACAAGCCGTCTTCATACAGCAACCTGAAGAATTTTAACGTTGGGCTACTGGAAAGCCGTCAAACAGTTTTGTATAAGCTGGTGTCTTGAGATTCCTGGTCAGAGAGATCACGACAGCAGTAGCGTGGAAGGTGATGCTGGTGGTGGTTCAGTCGCTAAGTCGCGTCCGACTCACTGCGACCCCACGGACTGTACCCTTCGAGGCTCCTCTGTCCCTGAGATTTCCCAGGCAAGAATACTGGAGTGGGGTGCTCTTCCCTTCTCCACTGGCATTTCCTGACCCGGGGTCGAACCTGGGTCTCTCTCGCATTACAGGCGGTCTCCTGTATTGTAAGTGGATTCTGAGCCACCAGGGAAGCCCCAGGATGGGAAGGCAGATGGGGAGGTAACACAAGATTGGCGTCAGGTAGAGTCAAATGATGGCTGGTGCCATGATCGAGTGGAGGAGAGTGAGTAGCAGTGGGGCAGAGTTCACAACCCATCCCATCAGTTAACCATTCATCACACGAGAACGGACGACCTAGTGTCTGCACGGCATTATGCAGATGTGAACTAATGAGTTGATATGGGAAGAATTAGGATAAATGAATAGGGATAAGAAAAGCAAAGTCCCCATCCCCACTGAACTTAAAGGCGACTAAACAGGAATTACAAGTGTAACGGTGACAAAACCAGTAGGAACTTCATGGTCTAAGAGAACAGTATGTGTAAGAACCTAAAGCATAAAGGAACTTGCTGACTTCTCCCTATTTGCAAGGATAGGTAACTGGGCGGGAAGGCTGTATGTTGTCGAGAAGGGAAGGGTAAAAAATGAGCGCAAATCACAGACGACTCTGCTGGTCATGTTCCCAACGTTCAGTCCTTTGAACAATGGAACTCAGGGTTTTAGAAAACCACTCTGAGTGTGTATGAAGAACGCTGGATATGAGGTGATCAATAAAGAGGGTATTGTAGAAATGAAAGCGACAGGTTAAGGTTGGTTTGCTGTTGAGATGTTAAATAGGAGATGCAGAGATGTGTATGGCTTCCAGATCCATGGTGAGTTCTGGGTAGTTGATAGAAAACACTGCAGAAAGATATTAGATACCGTGCTCTGAATTCTTTAAAAAATCCAAAGTAACTGAAACAAAAGTAAAACAAAATTTTTAAAGCCCCTGCAAGAGAGATAGGTCTGGTCTTTCTAGAAATTAAGTTAAAAAAAAACAACAACAAAACACAACACTTAGAGCACAAAGCTTCTTAGAATACTTAAATTCCATTTATTTAGCTCTGCTGAAGGCAGAGTAGGATGTGGGCTGAATCTAAGAAATGGAAATGGCAAGACAGCATAAAGAATTTAAGAGTTGGAAAGGAATCATTGAGTAAGAAAGTGGCATTAAAGTACTTAAGGGAAAAAGGGGGATTAGTTATTAAGGTGGTAACATCAAAGAGTAGTTATTGTTTATTTGGAGTCCAAGAAAAGTTTGGTGCAATTGAGAACACAAAAGATTTGTTCCTGTCATTGTTACAGTTTCTTAGCTTCTGCATGTTACATTTTACTGTTTTTTCAAAAAAATGTTAATTT